AAAATGACGTAGGTAAAAGCTCGGGGATGTAACCGGTATTTTTTGTAATTTGCTGTTAGGAAATAATTTATAAAAGTAAATTTGAATATATAACGGTAGATTTAATTCGTAAATTTGTTTATTTTAAGTATCTAGTTTAAATTTACCAAATAATATTTTTTAAATTTTTTTATTAGTTTTTTTTTACCTTTTTACGAAAATTGCGCAGACGGATGAGTATGTTTCAAACACTTATACTTTATATAGAGAAGGAGCATAGAATGCTAAAATTTTTTTAATTATGCACAAAAAATACATGAAATCAATAAAAAACACTACACAAACTACCATGTACAATTAATTATGGTCGAATTTCGACCACAGGGTGACCACTAGTATGAATAAACGCTTAAGTTTCAATTCAAATTCACATAATATGCAAAAGATAATCTGTTTTCGATAATGAAAAAATATTAATAACTTATAGGTTACATTGAAGTCCAAAATAAACTTAAAATATCACACGCCTAATTGTGATCATGAAAGCATCGGGCATAAATAGCGGCGATCACATTTTATTAAAAATACAATTCGTAATAAATTGTTACATGTGAAATAAGAAAGACTTTTATGAAATAAAGTTACATCAGAGCAAAGAGAATATCCTCCTAAAGGAAATAGGTTCCCTCGGCGCAATCACTCATCGTAACGTATAAACCGCATTTCAGTGACCACTCAAGACATAAGTGACCTTCTAATGATTAGGTGCTAAATTGTAAAACTGTAATTGTACAACATAATTTGAACATAATCATGAAATAAATTTTATTTCCTATTTACTAATTTCGTTTTCACTTAGTATTATTTTACTACTCTCACATATTATTTTTCAAATTATAACGCATGAAAAATAATAACTATATAATAAGTACTACATTACTTAGCATCCTACATTACATGTGGCACAGTACCTACATTAAAAATCTTCATAACTTTTACGATACATCTTCTGGATTTTCTATCGTATTTATTCGACAATAGTCACCAGATTCATCGGTGTTTCAAAAATCTGCGATGTTAATAAACACATCGTTCACAGCTCCACATTCATTTTATTTTATTTTATATGAGAACCTGGTGAGCGAACATGCGATTCACCTAATTACTAAATTTTCATTTAGTTTCCTATGAATTTACGGATTTATCGCGTTTATTTTTGGTTTTAATTCCCGAAGTGTCAAACCCTTTACAGTGTTCATGGTCACTGGACAGACTGAGGCGTTAGACGTCTGATTGTCAAAGTTAATCCGGGCTACCGTCAGTTTTTGAATTATTAATTTTGTGTCCGATGTATGCAGAGGGACCTAATTGTATCTTGTCTTGCAGTAGTGGTTTTCGTTCTCTAGTCCCAAACTAAGCAATGCTTGTACTATGGGTACTAGAAAACTGATAGACATACTTAAACATACTTTTCTTTTGTAAATATATACACATTATACATATATAAACACCCAGACACTAGAAAAACACTATGCTCACCACACAATATTTTTCCAGTAGTGGGGATCGAACCCACACCCTCTGGCGCAGAAAGCAGGTACACTACCGACTACGCCATTCGGGTCGTCAATTTTAACCTTTAATTTTATATTATTTTAATATACTAATACATTCTCATAGAGGCTCCACGATAGCACTCCAAATTGCTATCGAGGATGCTAAGGCTCGGTCTGATTGTGATCTTCTCGGGATTCTGGACAGAGACCCATGGGTACCCAAACAAGTGCTCCGACCCCTGGGTCACTCCGCTGATGGAGACCCTGGATCATACTTTCATTGGAAGAGTGAATTATACGCTCTTCCCTTTGACGACCTAGGAAAATCCTGAGCTCCTCACCTTAATGTCAGATCAGACCAACTGATCTGATGAATTGGTTGAGTGCTTTTCTTTCAGTGTGAAAGAAGGCTAGATTGGCCCTCTGACTCTCTTTCTGCATTCTGACCCATTTTCTGTTGTATTAGGTGGGCACACTATTAAAAAAAATATTCCCCTATACTATTTCAAGATACGCCTGCTTTTTAGTAACATATAAGACCAGCAGAAAACATACTATAATTATTAATTGCTAATTACTTCATACCTTCTGTGTTGCATAAATTGTATTTATCTTTCAATTAGCTTTTATCCACCGTTTTCATTTGAAGCAATTTAGTATTTCTTTAATGCTTACAATTTCCGTTAATTATTGCTACAATAGAATATTATATATTTATTTGCTTTCGCTTTAGCAAGTAAATCACATTCTTTTAAACATATTTTAGCTTTCAGCATATCGCGGAAGCGTTCCTGTGGCCCTACCGATATGCACCTAGGTGGAACATCGTGGGGGTCATAGTTGGTGCGAGACTGACATAACCCGTTCTTGTCCCCGCGATGGGAAAACCCCGACATAACTCTGTCCTACCTACCTTTCGAACCTATCTTTCGAGTCCACATCACATTGTCCAGCAGTAGGTACTATTTTGTTTACATGATGATAAACTTAAGTATTCTGCTTATTTCCTGACATAAGCATTCAAGTATTAGATACTTGCAGTTTAATATACTTAACAAAATAATTTCATGCGCTCTGATTAAAAGGAATTTTTTTTAAGAAGTTCGTTACAATATTCATATCAAACAAAAACTTTCCTTTCTATTTAAAAATTAGTGACGTCAACATCCAAGCATCGCAGAAAAATTTAGTATATTTGGCTAAACAAATTTTGATCTAACAATAACAATTATTTTAATGAGGTCATTGTTACCTATATACAGAACTAGAAAATAATGAATGCTATTGATGTAACTTTTATTCACCATATTTGATATTTTTGGTATAAACGAATGACCCTATTGTAATGAATATATTTCAGTACAACAGTGCGTAGTGTATGTGGATTGTAATCATATATATAAGCATATTTATTGTTATAGAGACATTTTTTTTACTTCCCACTGCGGTTCTTTTGCATTTTATTTTATTATAATTCTTCATTCATTTCTCAATGTCAAGAACAATGTATAAATTAATTATCATATGTTTGGGAATTCCACGCTTTCATTGAGTTACTCGTCTAGGTCCACAAATAATACGCGGTTCAAATAAAGAAAAAAAAATAATTAATTGATGGAAGCAAATAAACTATCTATAGACTTGCTACACTAAATATTCATATCTCTGACTAAAATCAGACCGGTTTCTTTTTGTTAATATACTTATTTCTTCAACTCAACGAAGGAATAAAACCTTTCGGATAATACTTTCATGTGCCAATGTGCTGTTGACTAATTATCGAAAGATAGAATAAAAGACCATTATGGAAAGCTTTCAGACAAGATCTTCATCCAACATGAGTCTTTCAAAGAACTTAACCTACTTAGGGAACATCTAATTATTCATTTTTGATTACTCCAAAAAGCCTATCGAACAACTTAAAATCGGAAAACCTTACTATGCTAGACTTAGAGCTACATCATCTCGTGAACACGTCGATCCAATTGACCAGTTGGAGGTGACCCGCGTTATCGAAAGTAGAGCTGTGTTACCACCAGACGCTGACCCTTTAAAGTTGACCCGAGAGAGGTCAAAGTCATAATTAAAGGGTTAAAATCCTGTTCATCTTCCAAGTCAAGATCGAACCAGTAAATAAGTTCTTAAACTCACGCCCACTTATTTCCTTATCTGCTTCTTCCCGGACGCCAAAAAGAAACCATAGGCATGCGAATACGAAACAAACCGCTAAATCTCTCAAATAGCTATCGTCCTCAATTATTCTCCTCGCTTGCATGGGGGAAAGTATAGTATAGGCAATAGGTTGAAGGATCATGATGTTTTCACTAACAACCTTATTTCTCACAACAATTAGACTTCCGTCCACAATGTTCTTGTATGCACCTCGTTTACCGCCTCACTCTGCCAAGCACATCTTTAGAGGCCTTAACCAACCCTCTCCTATAGACGGCGTTGGTTAAGGCCTTCGCTTTTAGGGTCCGATCTCATAAAGGCATTTATCAAAGGCAATTGGCATAACGGTTTACTATACACGCTGACCGCACGCAAATGTCCATATAGGCCCCTTCACACCATTCGGACCTTCTTGTCGAATTCATGTTTTCGCTATCGTATTGAGGGTGCCCTCTCTTCGGATCGTCCACTTACAGCTAGTGTATCTCAAGATTTATGCCTTTCGCCTCTGCACAATACTTAACATGAGCAACATAGATTTTTTTATAAGGTTGTTTTTCGAAATAAATAAATCAATAAATATAATTTATTTGACAAAAATAAGAAAGCACAAAGTAAATTCCTGTCCTTTCAGTAAAGTCCTTTCGCCATTTCATCCATCCTGCTTTTATTCCATTTGTAGCATCTCGGAAAATGCTGCCATCATTTTGGATTAATGAAAACTATGTATACAACAAGGTAGCTTCAGAGAGTCCTGTCAGCGAAAAGTATTTTAAGTTATATTGAAGTTATACTACTTTTGGTGCATTTGAAAAAAATATGAGAGTAAAATTTTAGCGATGCGGGTGTACACCGATAGCCAAAAAGCGACATGTTGAAGCTGGTTGCAAAACGACCAACTTCACGGTATTACCATGGAAAGTAATACCAATTTTTTACATTCACCCATAATTGTGAATTATTTAATTAAACCATTATCATTAAAACACCTAGAAAAAGTACGAAAAGATTGTCGCTGCTGTGGGAATCGAAGCTTTTAACAAATCAAAATAAATAGAAATGTTTCATATTTCTTCAAATTTTGTATTATAACAATTATATCAATAATTTATTTAGTTATACATGTATTCATTTTCACGTTTATTATCTGTGTATTGGATAAAAAATCTTGTGTTCAAAGCTTCAAAGCAAAAATCTGTAATCTGTATTAGACATATTGAAAAATATTGGCTTATCGCATGCATGATACCACAAGTTTTATTTTTAAATAATTCTAATTAATTTATAATTACAATGGCTGCTGTAAAAACGATTGAGGAAAATACTACAGCACATATAGAGGAGGATGAAGATGATGATGATGCTAACGAAGAAATTGAAGCAAAGGATCCCGCTAAAAAAAAGAAAAAGAAAAAAAAGAAGAAGAAGACAGGTTAGCTTTTCTTACCTTTAAGATTATACTAAACTGAAATTGAGAGTTTTGCAGGCTTTTGCCACTACCAATAATCGATTTATTAAATTAATTAGATGTAAGTATGACATACGTTCTGCATTTTAGCGGGAAGCGAAGCTTCCATAGAAAATGGATCTGAAACGCTCGATAACGCGCAAAATGATTCGGTGGAAGATGCTACAGAAGTCCAAGGGGAGGAAAAGAAAAAAAAGAAGAAAAATAAAAATAAGGCAGCCAAATCCACTAATAAAAAGCAGACCGACCCGCCAACTATCCCGATTGCGGAATTATTCCCCGACGGTGGGTATTTTTATTGCATTTCTATTTTTTATTTTATTGCATTACATTTACTTTGTGTATTTTATCAATAATTTGCCATAAAAAGATGAAAATAAAACAGTGTATCACATAAGTTAATTGAACAAGATTCTGTTTCTAACAACTCCATTATAACATGTACAAATAAATTAAATTTTAGTTCTTCAAATATATAGGTAATTTCCCTGAAGGACAAATTATGAGTCATGGACGGGCTGAAGGTATTGATGAAAGAACAGCTAAAGATCGCTTTACCAGTGAAGAGAAGAGAGCTCTAGATAGAATGCATCAGGACATCTATCAAGAAATAAGACATGCTGCTGAAGCTCACAGACAGGTATTAAAATAACAACTCTAAACAAACTAAAATTAGGCACAAGATTCATGAATATATTCTTGATTCCCGGTTAAATATAATTGTAATGAGGCATTCATTAAAATCGAAGTATTAATTCTAGACAAGAAAATATATTCGTGAATGGATTAAACCTGGCATGACCATGATACAAATTTGTGAGGAATTAGAAGCAACTGCAAGACGCCTCATTGGTGAAGATGGGCTAAAGGCAGGTTTGGCTTTTCCCACTGGATGCAGTCGTAACCATTGTGCTGCACATTACACACCAAATACAGGTTCTTTGGTCTATCTTTAATCTATTGATTGCATACAACAAAATTTTCTCAAAATCATGATTTTATTTAATCCAGGTGATAACACTGTTTTGGAGTATGATGATGTAGTTAAGATTGATTTTGGAACACACATTAATGGACGGATTATTGATTGTGCATTTACACTGCATTTCAACCCACGTTATGACCCCCTTGTAAAAGGTGTGCAGGAGGCTACTGAAGCTGGCATCAAAGCCAGTGGAGTTGATGTCAGGCTGTGTGACGTAGGAGCTGCTGTTCAAGAGGTAAGAGCAAGTTACTATATAGATACTGTGTATTACACTATAAATTAACATTTTTTTTTGACCTTTCCTTTTTTTTATAGGTTATGGAATCCCATGAAGTAGAATTGGATGGCCAAGTTTATCAAGTAAAACCGATTCGTAATCTTAATGGTCACTCTATTGGACCTTACAGTATGTATCAATAACAGTAAACTTTATTACTTACTAGCTGTTAAACACAACTTCGCCCGCGCCGTCAAAGGGAATTTTTTATACACCAGAATAGCTCACAGATGGCAGAATGTTCCCTACTTACTTGACACTTGTTGTTGTATTTTGGATAATTCTCATAATATCTTTATTAACTATAGCCTATGTGTTGATGTAGTATTAAGATGGCTGAACTCACGTAAACCTGGTGTATGTACTAACTAGTTTCGGACTCATAGGAGGTTCTTCATCAGGGTGAGTGCGACTAGTTCGCGGTCGCGCCCCGTCTCGCACTGCGCGCCTGTTGAGAGGGCGGGGGGCGCGGGTTGCGCCGGTGATGATGAAAGCCTATGTGTTATTCTGATGTATTAGCTATATAATTGTAAAGTTTCATTAAAATCCATTTAGTAGTTTTTGTGTGAAAGAGTAACAAATATCAATAGTAAGGATGTTGCCTTACTTTGCACATTAATAGGCATATGGGCAACATATTCATAATATATGAAAAACCTAAGTCATGTATAAGTTGTCATGACTTAGTGTTTTATCCATTATTTTTTTGTAACAGTATGATCTGCTTGTATTTAGGAATTCACGCGGGGAAAACTGTTCCAATTGTGAAGGGTGGTGAGACAACGCGCATGGAAGAAAACGAATTTTATGCCATTGAAACTTTTGGCTCCACTGGACGCGGACAGGTCCATGATGATATGGATTGTTCCCACTACATGAAAAATTTTGATCAAACATTTGTACCGTTAAGGTATATACTACACAATTTATTTAATTTATCTTTTTTGTTGTATTATTACAATTTATTGAACAAAAAATATTTACAATATTAAATACTAAATGAAATTTATATTTAACAACCCTAGTCTAAGCTGCATGGTGCCAAGAATAAAGCTAAATTCTTTTCTCTAAATTATATTGTCAGTATAAATTGCATTACTATGTGAATGAATGAATGAATATACTTTATTGCACACCAAAAATAAAAACAAACAAAATTAAAACTTAATGTAGAAGTGATGGGTACAATGGGCGGCAAGGTATATACTATAATGTATGTATATTTAACATACAATGTACATTTTTATAACTTTGATATCAAATGACGAATTATGTTCATTTTGAACTTTTAGGAGTCAAATTCAATCAATTTGTCTGTTATTTAGTTTGTTTGTGAGTAGAATGATGGAAAGTCAGGAGTAAAAGAGTAGTTCACAACACTGCTTTTTTTACTGATGAAAAAATGCTTTTTGAAATAGTTCTTTAAATGTGTAACCGTGGTCAGAATTTAATTAAATACATGAGGGCAAGAATTTAAGTAGCCCTCTTTTAAGTCTTATTGCCCGTAATATTACTCCAATCTCCATACGGGTAAAAAAATTTAATGGTTCCCTTTAAACGGATTCCTCAATCACCATATATTGTTTCAGGCTTCAATCATCCAAACAACTTTTGAATTTGATCAATAAAAACTTTGGCACATTAGCATTTTGCAAGCGATGGTTGGAACGCGCTGGCGCAAGTCGCTATGCCATGGCTCTTAAAGACTTGTGCGACAAAGGAGTGGTAGAAGCTTACCCACCGCTCTGCGATATAAAAGGATGCTACACAGCTCAATATGAACATACTATACTCCTTAGACCAACATGTAAAGAAGTTGTATCACGTGGCGACGACTATTAAAGTTTTCAATGCATCTGCTAGAAACATTTTGTAAGGTTTTTATAAGGGAAACAGAAGTGATCAGATGTGGTCTCTGCATATTTTACCTATTAAAGTTTTCTATATAACTCTAGCGTGCGACAGAAGAAACTAGTATTGTTGTTCATGCATGGTTGTCGTTTATGTAGTATTACGTAAGAACCGCTTTTGTTAATTACAGTCATTGTTTGTGGGTAATATTTCTTACTAATTTTTAGTTTCTTTTTATTAACAAATACTATGCAATACCTTGGTATTCATATTTTTTTTTTTTCAGTAACTATAAAACATTGTTTCAATAAAGTTTACTTGTATTCTCGAATTCTTGTATTATTCAATAGAGGTTAGGCCAATTAAAAAAAAATAACGTCACATGAACATACCGCTATGCGGAAATAGTAATAACAATCAGGTAAACCAAGGTAAAATATGTAAAAAATTGTTTTTTTAATCTATCCCCTGAGTTATTAAAGTACGTAAAATAATCCACAGTGTCGTAAATTAAACCATTACAAAACGACGGCACTGCTATAAAAAATTTAGGAAAGTGTCTAGTCTGCCAACAGTCGTTATTTAATAAAAATTAATATTCCGCCTCTAATGGTAAGTTATGCATCAAAAGTAGAAAGCGAATTTATTTCGGTAAAGTTGCAAGCCAAGTTGACTCGCCACTGTCCGACGGCTTCCACTACTGTACTAAACACTTGACCACTATAAATTGGGCCATAATCTGCACGGTATTAGATATTCAAATATGTACCTTAACCGAATATAACAAAGTTTGATTTTAAATATACATTATAGCGTAGTGAAATAGTTCTTACAGTGGTAGTCGTAACATAAATGCTTCTGCCACAATTTATTAGTCATTGGAATAAACAACTTTTTGCAAATGTTATTAATTAGACAATAAAATCATGTTAGAAAACGTTGAGACGACTCAAAGGGGAAAAATAGTAATAAGACTTAAGATTACAACACTCATTAAGATATTTATCTTAATGAGTGTTGTAAGATGTTAAATTGTCCATGCGCTCTCACCAGAAATCTGTTTCTGACTCCGCATTTTTAAATTCACTCTAGGGGTAGGGACCACAAGGCCACGTGGAATTAGGTCGCTCTGTGTCGGATTTGTGACTCTTTGAACCTACCCTAATTCACTAAATACCATTATTTCTTGTTCTACCTATTGCTGCAGAATATTTTGGCACAAATTTTTATACAACGTTCTCTAGTCCCAAACTAATCATTGCTTGTACTATGAATACTAGATAACTGATAAAAATACATTTATTTTCTAAATAAACACTAGAAAAACAGTATGCTCATCACATAAAATTTTTCCAGTAGTGGGGATCGAACCCCTCACCCTCTGGCGCAGGAGGCAGGTACACTACCCATCACGCCATTCGGGTCGTCAAAAATAGCATTATATCTTAACAATAGTGGCAGTATATTCAATTTTATAGATGACCAATGGTGGCAGACTTCCAAAATTTAATGCTACACAGTCTTGATAATGCACGAAATGAAATAACTTCGAGATTTTTTTTTTATTTTTATTTTTGCTTTAATGTTAAGGAAAGCACTATTTCCCTAAATCCATTTTATAATACATATCAGAAAAAAAATTATGTTCAAGTAAATTTAATATCTAAAAGTTTGACGCCAATAACATATCATAGAAATGTATAAAATTGTCATTATTATAGTACACATCGTTTATTACTAGCATTTCACATATCTTAATTTAACTATGCACACATATTACAAGAAACTAGGTCTAGGAAAAAACCATTTTCGTTGTAAAATAATTCAGACTGAACTAAAATTGGGTAATTACAAAAAAAATACATCGTATACTTACCATGTTATTGCTTATCAGATTAAACAAGGCTGTTCATTAATTAAATTAAAACTAAATTGACAGTTTATACTTCGAAATGGGATTTTAATATTTCCTAATACCATCAGTATCATTTGTAACTAGACATCATCCTGTACCTACTAACTGTAACCCATAATATTATATTGATATAATCATAATTAAACCATTCATGGCCTCTAGATTTTCTATACAAAACCAAAAAATCGGAAAGACAATTACTATGAAACCAATGAAATCTTTATTGATTTTATAATTTTAATACGAATAATATTATCTACTTTGCCTAAAAAAGGAAAAGGAAATTACAGGTGTCATGGTCAACAGATACATTTCGCTGATAAGACATTCGTACTTTACGGCAGTGCTGTTTCATGATACTTATCTATTTTTATTGATATCACCATTAGAAACATATAAAGGCAACGAGTATACATTATCTTATAGATCGCGCCAAACTAATGGCAGCCATGAAGTTAGTAGCTAGGCGCATCGCACTGAGAAATATTGGTTGCGCGCAGGAGTCTAAAAGGCGAGAGAGGCAGAACACATCCGCCCGCTATCATTCGTGGACCGCTAGGTGTCTCCGTAACTGTTATCTACGCTGCACACGCCTCAGTTCAAGCCTCAGTCAACTCTTGTTCTTGTCATTGTAGCCTATTATTTGTTCCCTAAACTTTTTTGTTATAGTTTTTTTAATGATGTTCAACTGTTTTTAAACTCAACTTAATGTCATCTGGCAATTAACTTACATTTTCGTTAAAAGCAAATAGGTACCAGTGACAAAACTAATATTTTATTTCTTAAAATGTATGTATTTTGCTAGATATAGGTATTTAAATAGATCTTAATATTATTTGTAATACCGCACTCTTACAATTGGTGAGCTGACTGTACCTGAACAAAGCTGCATTCGTATCACACTTCTCAATCGCCATTAAGTTTAGCGCGGATTGTAACTCCTAGAGAAAATATGGACAAATAATGCTCTATTATATTATTTTTATCATAAAACATATGAAAAAGTTAGTTAAATTTCAGCCTTAACACAATTCAAACACTTCAACAAACTTCACACAAACAATTCAACTGAAGTACCCTGAACTAATTAGCACTAAGCAATGTTTGAAATATTATAACCGATTAGACTTTTTTTTTAACTCCAGACAATTTAATTACTTAGTGTACCTATCTTAATTTAAATACCACTGGTCAATATAATTATTTGTCGTTAAGTACTAATAGCAAAAATTTATTTGGAGGTCGGAATTGAAGTTTTTCAAAGATTCAGTAAAGGATATTATATTAAAGAAATATTCGCAGTTCAAAATATAAAAAAGTTAGATAATTATAATATAAAAATATATTTATGTAACGGCTTATCCCACGCTCGTTTTTACGAAAGTAAATGTTTAATCTAGTTTTGGCTCTTAAATGTTTATATTCTTCACCTATCAAGACTTATCGAATTAAGGCAATTAAAATACACAAGGTGGCGCAAAGGTTATCACATTTATTTTAACACCAAGTTATATGGGCTGATATACATTACTCAAGATAAAAAATATCGCTTATCGTAAAAAAAACAAGAAATGCGTTTTTGAAAAAAAAAATTACTGGAACAGCTTCACGTAAAACTTAGTTCCAACAATATCGACGGGACGAAAGCGTGCAATTTCATCGCGCCGACATTCAAAGTTAAAATTAATGTGATAACCTTTATCTTCTTATTACGAATCTTATAATAACGCACACCAATATTTCGTTATTTAATTTGTAGTTCCTCATAAATATTAATAAAACATAAATAAATATTCTTTGCAAAATTCAAAACTAATGAGAGGATCTATAAAGTGTTTTCTTGACCAGTGTAATAAAAACGAAAGTACAAGTTGGCACTATTTCTTGTAAACACAATTTATCCCATAAAAAGCATTGTTTTTACAAAAGTAATATTTTATTTCTTTCCACGTAAGACATGATTTTATGAAAAAAAAATACAGATAATTAAAAAACATCAGTTAAAATTTCCAATACCGTGCTACAAAAAATTATATTTTTTTAGAACGCGGAATATTTTGCTCTTTTCTTTACTCCAATGAAAAACATACTTACAGAAACCAAATTAAACCCTAGGAAAATATATAACAGACAAAATACGAAAAATAAGGTACATATAGGTTTCTTACGACTTAGCTGTAGTTAGACAAAATTTTAATAAGAAGTGAATAAATTAGTTTAAATGGCGTAATGTAATGTCGTGTCTCGACTATTTTGAAAAATTAAAAAAGCAGAAAGAGTCTGCTACATTAAACTTAAATATGTTAAAACAATCAATAAATACTTATTCTTGGTAAAGGTGTTTATATAGATGACAAATCCAACTAAAACAATATACAAATCCCTTATACCAAACTGGTAAAGTATCACAGAAATTAAGCATACCTAGCTAAACTATCATGACATCTAATATCTCAAAACTACTCTACGTTTCTGAATTTGGTCAATGTAAATATTAAGAGAAAATGTAATAATGTAGGTATACTTAGGTAATACTTAAAGCCTACCTAAGAGATAAACAAAAAAAAAACAAGTTATTCTATAACATAAATCAGGCCGAAGTAAAATGTTCATATGGAAATAACAATTGTGTTTTATTTTGCGTTTCTCTTTTATTTTTACTAATTTATATTGAGAAATAGTATTAATCCTTGCCATCACCATTGGTGGTCATATCAGTATATGGCCACTTGTAAATGCTCTGCAGAGGAACATGAAGCAATTCAACAATATGCCGATAGTGGGGCTCTGAAATAATAATATTTTTATATTAGCAGCACTATTTCGGCAACTTCTCCCCTAATAGAGTCATTGAGGCATTTTTTTGTTTTTTATTTTCACAAAATAGGGCAAAATAAACTTATTGCGCTAATATTTGGAAAAAGGCGTAAGCGGCAGTTTCGCCCCTTTACGTAGAAGCCATCATTTTATGGATACACACTTAATGTTACACGTATTAAAGGAAATTTTTAAACACAAATGATATTAATACAGATTTCATATTTCATTTCATAGTCATCCTCACCTTTTGCCAACAATAAATCAATGAATGGTAATAAATTCTAATTTTAATTTTTGATTTTTAAAAGAATATCCACCAAAATGGCACAACTTATGTTCCAAAGTTACTTATAAGTGACTGAAGCGTGAGTTGTGTATATAGTTATGAGGTAAGCTGACTTATTCTGATTATAGGCCATAGGACAAGGAATGCTTTGCACTACTATAAATGCAAAAACGTCTCCAAGCTAATTTATGTGTATTTCACTAAAATAATGTGACAAACATACCATTTTCAGGATTAATATATCCTTTCCTTATTAAAAAGTCAAGTAAAACGGGAGCACTAGTGGTCTTAAACTGTGGGCTGAGCGCCCTCTGGATACACTCTTCAGCAGTTAACAGTTCAAAACTCTCGACTTCACCATCAGCATTTTGTGGCACAAAATCGATAGGAAGTTCTAGATCGTACACATATTCAGTGTTTGGAAATAATCCCCTTTCACTTTCAAAGAAGAAGCTGTAATTAAAATTTAAATAAAATAAAATTAGGTTTAAAAATTTTATTCTTCTTAATCTTCAATAAAATTGCTAAGATGCAAATTGTATCACTAATGAAAATTCTATAATTAGAATTTTAAACAAAAACCAGTAATAATTTATAATGTTCAAAATTAAATATTTTTAAGGGAAGTCCTTTTAATTTTTTATAACTCAGTTTAATTAAATGAATTATTACTAAAACACTTAATTAATTTTATGAAGTTGATAACTTCTTGCCATATAAACATTGATTTGCAAAGATAAATATTAAAAAACAAACCTGACACAACCTGATGGTACCAACTTTTTAACCAAATCACCTACAACGGAGGCCTCTTCTGCTGCCTCTTTAATTGCAGTTTCAAGAATTCCATATCCTACTGCTAATCCTCCACTGACAAAACAATCCCACTTTCCTAAACAAAATATGTATATCATAAACTGCAAAACTGTAAACTGCAGTGAAAATGCACAAACAGTAATGCAAAATTTTTTAAACATGTGGCATTATATTTCTTCCTTTACCATGAAGTTACAGTAAGATGGCCTTGATGATGGAAAATCCTTTAAAATAGTAACAAAATATAAGAAGTAAATAACAGTTAATTATTTACACAATTATTAACATTTATCAAAACAAAGTCCAATTATTTCCCTTTCTAAAATCCCCAAAGAGTATTCTGCTATGGCGCAAAACATTGAGAGATTTGTGAATTAATTATATAATATATTATTATTATACAGCATCAATACATTGACTTTTGTCATGTTTGTAACTCATGATGTTAATATAGCAAGTCATGTTTAAACCTGATGTATCAAACTGATAGTGTTTTAAAAGAAACAGATTTTTATTTTTATTATTCTACAAGTACCAAAAAACATTCATTTCTAATATGACTTTGAATAACCTATTATAACAGTTATTAGTTATGAATTCAGTTTTACTTTTAATTTTAGCCAAGAGTTTAGAAACAATATGTGTAATACAAAAAATATTACATTTCAAATTCTCAAGAGCCAATGAACCTTTTCTACTTAACTGAATATAAGTGCTTGAGTACACTCAAGTGATGAAATATAATTACTTAGTTATATTCCATCTGCACTACAAATATCCCAAAGAAATTTTTTTAATTGATTATTTAAAAAAAATTGTTTAATCATTTCCTCATCTATCTGAATCGAAAACTATAACATTTCAATTTTGTGTTTTTATGTGAATATTATATAATTTATACATATTAAACAAAACTATTGTACAGATTTTATCATATCTTAATTTTCATAGTCATGGTCATGTAACAGACATGTTAAAAATTTACCTTTTCATGTTATAATTGAAGCTATTATAATAATAGAGTCCAGTAAAAGGTGTCATTCCAAATACAAATATACAGTTATTGAAAGTAATAACCACAACCGCACATACTTTTTGGCACCAAATTTATCCTACCAAATCTATCTATCCCACCAAATAATTTTTTTTGTTTGTTTTATAATAAATATTGATGAGACATACAAAATGTGTTCTTAATACAAGCTGGTGTGAAAATTTTTATACAACTTACCTGGCCATGTTTGCTTCGTAAAGCTTCTTTGTTGTAACCAAATACAAAGACCTTTTGTGGGATGAGTCAAATAACCATTAACACTAACTCCATAATTCCTTATACCAAAAAGGCATATAGCACTTCTATCCATTTCCAAAAGACTTTCATGGTAAAATGGAGTACTCACTTCAAAACACTAAAACAAGTAAATTCACATTAGAATAAATGAAGAACATAGGTATTTATCAACTTGGATAACAATTGTAGAAACAAAATTAAAATAATAAATGTATATAAGAATAAACAAATTCTATAGATATTATCCCTACAACTTTCTTTAATTATAAGTATCAAAATATTTTAAAAACACAAACCTCATCTCGCCAGCCCTTTAAAGCACAAATTTCATTTTCTTTACGTAGAGACTGTAACACATCAGCTACTTTGGATGTTCTCTCTTTATAACCTCTAAAGGCTGGATTTAATTCAACAAATTTTCCAGTAACAATAAACACCTGAAAATAGATTATTAATACTTATACTATCTGAATAATCGCATTTTTGTATGTTGTGTTTAAAATAAAAATAGATCTCATGGCTATAGTACAAAATTCAACAAAATATTATCATATATTTAAAAATTCAGGCTATTTAAAAATTTAGTTTTACCTCTGGAAATCTCTGAAGATATTTCATAACATCAGGACGAATTAGACCAACTTGATGGCCTGCGACTATAAATGGTTTACATATTCCTTGGTGTAACCCTTGAACACAACAAAAAGCAGTTTAATCCTGTTTGCGTTGTAGATTTTACAAGCAAAACAATAAAATACCTGATAGGTAGAAACAATTGAATTTTCTTGCCAATTTTGTGAGTTCTGAAAATTGATTATGGAGTATCGAATGCATATCTTTCATAATTTGTAGCACTCAAATGGTAGCAAAAATATTAAATTGCATTCAGTATTGTCATATAATTATTAATTCATTACTTTGATAACCTAAGACGAAATTGAAAATGATACTTTTTTGAACGGACTCTGAAAACCAGTTAGTAAATCAATTCCGACATAGATATGTATTTGTATTATATAGTTACAGTGGGCGATACAACTCGTATCAGATATGAAAACTATATATTGGTAAAATATCCGAAAATCGCTTACTGGCTCGTTCAAAATCTAAGTATATTTTAATCTCACGCGCTTTGTCTAAAAATCTGATATTGTGGCAAACGCGTATGATATCGCGATTCGTGTTGGTCTAGCGAGTGAGCGAGTATTCGGACATCAGATTTCGGAAATATCAGATATTGTAAAATACATAGATTAAAAATCTGAATCTTAACTTTGAATCTTAACAGCATGCAAATAAGATCCGTTTCATTTAAATACTAAGCATGGTATCAACGATTACGATATCTTTTTATTCTTTTATTTAGCACTAGTCTTGAACCGTAGCGAGCGACAAAGCGCGTGAGATACAAATATTACACTAGTTAGAGGGGTACGGTAAACAATGCACAATATCAGATTTTCAAACAGATTTTATGAATAAGTTTGAATTTTAAAAGCATGGAAAGAAACTCTGTTTCATTTAAATACGAATCATGGTATTAACGATGTCTTTAAATTTTGTTTAGGCTTGACCTGGAGTGCAGTGGAGATTTTAAAATACATAGTTTCGAAATCTGATATTTGAAATCGAAATCTGATTCAGATACGGTTCTCAGAAAAGGCGATACAACCCATCTCTACACACGACACACACCACGGATACACACGGTCACATAGTTGACGCCATAGATTATACACTTATATACTGAGAGGGTCACTCCGTGGCTTGTGGCTGATCAATAGTTAGTACTTTTTTGCAAGAGACCGATTTAACCGTTAATGTTCTAAATTTAAATTTTATGTAGTGCTAATCTCTGCATTTAAGATTGAACTGTGTGTTTAACTCTTTTTATCAATGTTGTGTATACCTGTAATAGGTATATATATATAAAAATTGGCCCTATAGCAAAGAACATATAAATAATATAATATTTTATAATGTTGGTGTACCTGACAATAAATAAATAAATAAATAAATTGTATTAAAAATCTGCACTAACTTTTTGACGAAATTTTTATTATTTCTCAATATTTCCGAGCTCTGCTTCCATAAATTGATATTTAAATTGCTTAGTTCACAATTATTCTGCACTGGCTGTTCGGCTTTTCTACTGTTTCCGATTAGTACGACTTTGCGCGAAATCATTCAAGCACTGTTATATCCTTGGGCTTCTTAGTGTCCGCTTACCACTAGCGGATTAATTGGGGGGCGGAAGGGGCGGCCCGCCCCGGGCCTCAGGGTCTAGGGGGGCCCCAACAACAAACAAGGTGTTAAAAAAATTCGTTGTACCTATCTAAGAGATAATTTGATTTTGGGAGGTCCCATACAAATATGATCCCATACAGATAAAATACGAATAAGTAAATACAGCCTGAACTGTTTTTTTACAATTTATAAAAAAATTACTACGAGTTCTAATCTTTACAATTTTAGTACGTTTCAATTATACGAGGGGCACACTGAAATGATCGGGAATAGGATATTTCGGATTGATTTACAATAAAACCGTTTTTCGAATTTGAATACTAGCCTCTTAGAATCTTAATGACATTCAAACAATTTAAAAAAATGTTTAAAAACAAAAACTATGTTGGTTTAAAATTGACACGTCGTTACCAGAAATGGAGCCCACGCGTGAACATTTCCGTGCCATAATTTATCACAATTTTCGTCTTGACTTATCTCAAGATAAATGTCTCAGCGAACTTGTTTCGATTTATGATATTGAAGCACCGAGTCAAACGACAATATACCGCTGGTATGCCGAGTTCTGACGCGGTCGTGTGTCGCTCAGTACTGTTTCTTCTGCTAGTCGACCAAGAACGGTGGTCAGGCCTGAAAACATCGCAGCTTTGCGAACTTTTATATTAGATGACTGTTATGTGACATACGAGCATTCGGGCTGTTATCAGAATTGGAATGACTGCAATTCAGTCGATATTACATAATGAGCTGTTTGTAAGAAAGCTAGTTTACCCGTTGGGTTCCCCACAATTTGTCTGAAGAACAAAAGGCGGCTCGTGTAGATTGGTGCCGGAATGCTCTGCAACGCTTCAACGGAGGGAATTCAAATGCCGTTTATAATCTTGTCTCAGGTGGAATCATGGATTTATTAATACGAACCTGAAAGAAAACATCAGCAGTTTGGGTCTTCGAAGACGAGGTCAAATCAAAGAAATTGGTTCGCTCCCGCAGCGTGTCAAAGAAAATGGTCGCTACGTTTGCCCCGAAAAAGGAGCATGTTGCTACAATTCCTTTACAGGAACGCAGAATGGTTACCGCTGAGTGGTATATCACGGTTTGTTTGCCAGAAATTATAGCCGAACTCCGAAAAAAAATAACCCGAAACGACGCATCATCTTATATCACGTTAATGCGAGCTCCCATACGGTTCGGAAGACAAATGATTTTGGAAGCAGGAAAACGTTGATGAGCCATCCTCCGTACAGTCCTGACCTGAGCCCAAACGATTTTATTACATTCCCTAGAATGAAAAATTTACTACGCGGTCAACGGTTTGAAGACCCCGAAGCAACCGTGTAAGCGTACAAATCAGACATTTTGTCAACATCAACTTCAGACTGGAATTACTATTTTAATGATTGGTTTGCACGAATGGAAAAGTACATTAAGTTGAACGGAGAATACTTTGAAAAACAATAAAATACAATTTAGCTATACCGTGCATGTGGTTTTTCTTATTCCCGATCATTTCAGTGTGCCCCTCGTATATTGCACATTTTTTTCACTTTGCCCGAGGAATAAAAAAAATATCTTAGCATTATAGATAATATAAATAAGTAGTAAAAAAAATTATAGGTTAGTAATTAAATAGATCAATTAGATTTAAAAACAAACCTTACTGTAACCAATAAGTACTACCGGCTCCGGCTACCTCATTCACCAGACGAAACGCGAAAGTATCTGTCATACTTCCACTTTACGCTGGTCTTCTGTGAGGTCGTGATAATTACCCGGACGGGCCAGCCCATTCGTGCAACAGCCGAGGCTGCTGCATGGCCCTACCACCGTCGTTGTGGGAGGGCTTTTGTTTTTCATACAAACAAATATAGTTTGTTTAGTATTATTATCAGACCATACTGCTTAACCATGCAATTATCGATTCCAACTTGAGAATAGTAATCGGTAATCGATCGGGTTCTATACCGATTGTATACAACCTCACCCCTAGTGTGAGCTTTAAAAATTATAATCCTCCAGGATAACAGGGGCTGCAGCAAAATAACTTAGACATTGAGTAACTGCCGCGAAGAACGATCCTGAGCCACATGCATCCATCGACTTTCCGCACATTTGCACAGGTCGTCACTCCATCTAATGGGGGTTGTCCTACACTGCAATGGCCAGTACGCTGTACGAGGATGCCACTCAAGAACCTTTCTTTCCCATCGATTTTCGGTTCTACGAGCTACATGGCCAGACCATCGCCAATGATTGAAGACATGTCTTCAAACAGGCTGAAATGACGTCGATGATGATGATAGAGTAACTGTAATATTTGAGCCAAAATGACATAAACAAAAAAATCAAATGTCAACGGTCAGCTTGTACTGTACTGATCAGTATTTATAAGTTACTTACTGTAACTATGTAATTCTTCAGTAACATATGTTGCTCTATGGCGCTGATAGCTTGAGCTGACACTTATTTGAGTATATGTCTTATCTATGCTGACACTTGACAGTGACACTGAACAGTGAACACTGACAGTCTGACAGTGTGAATGTGATGTCGGATTGGAGAATCGTTAGATTTATTGATTATTTCACTCACTAATTTGTTATTGTTTGGCTATTAGCTCAAAATACTCTGATTGTTGATACCTTCAAGCACACAAATAGAAGTATACTAGTTATTCATAAAATTAAAAACTTGAATAATGAAAATGGATAATAGTGGTGTGTTATGCGAAATTTCACCCGTGTTTCGTCCTTATATCCAAAATTTATACCGTGATTCACAATTAGGCAAGTATTTCCTGAATAATATGATAATATTATTATTGTCTGATTTTGACTATATGAATACTGAAATAATTCTTTCGGTTCGTTTTTCATCTATGGTTACAGTGCTTCAATAACTTAACGTTTTTTTGTTTTAACAAAATTTTTTTTTCAGGATTATGTAAAGCTAAGGTTGACTTAGAGAGAATTAGTGGAAATTGTGATGGAGCTGAAACTCAATTTCGACTAGTTTTGCCATACTGTTCTAAAAAATTGAAATGGGAAGTCATTTTTGATTCCTCTATACCTTGGTTTGCTCCAGATTTTCGATTTGACGATGACAGCTTTCTAAATAACCCAGATGAAAATTTTTTCTTGCAAAATGTCCCTAGTCTGACTAATTGGAATGGAAATGATCCCAAAGCTTTGGGAGATGTTATTACTGAGTTTGTCAAACTGTACAAGACACACCAGGTACTTTTAATTAATGTAAATAAAATTAAAAAGAAACCCAAACCTAGTCAGTCTGCACTGGACTTGGTTATTCTTTCTCAACTTTTCTAAATAAGGTATGATTATGAACTTTAAACAAAGGAAATTAAGGTAAAATTTTATGCAAAGGCAGAAAAGTAAAATTGCTCCTACATTTTATTTTAAAAGAGCTATATTTTAGGTAGTGTCAGACCGAAACTGGTTTTTACGACCGAAACCGAAATTCGGCAACAGTCTTAGTTACGGCCGAAACCGAAACCAAAACTTCTATAAAACGGTCATGTTTTGAGGGAAAAATAAATATATTTATATCTTATAGTTATGCGGTCTTCGACATTTTCACTCATTGGTATAATAATCAACATAACAACTCCATTTAAGAAAAAAATATTAATTGTGCCTAAAATGTAAAAGCTGTGCTTAAAATGTAAAAGCTGAAAAGAATTGCAGTGCCACTTTTCTCAAAAGAAGTTTCGCTTCCTTAAATTTTTGTGTGACAATTTGTGAACAGTAAGGTCAGAGATTATTTTGCGGCTTATCATAATTATTATCAGAATTTTACTTGATGCTTTGTCTGGTGTCTTTTTTTGTAAAATTATTTATTTATAATTGTATAATATTAATTAGTCAGCTGAAGGACGATTTAGACTCGTTGAACGTCGCAGCGTCAAATAAAATACGTTCATTCAGACCGCATCACATTGACGAACATGAATCAATGTTGACGAAAAAACCTTCAACAACCAATCGCTTCTCTCTTCTTCTACTTTGCTTGCTTGCATGGATGGAATTTAACACGCTGTTTATGACAGATCATAGCGAGAACTCCCGAATGCAGTTTCGATTTCGTTCGTAGTGTCGGCAGGTTTGGCGCCGAAACCGAAACTAGTTTTTTTGCCGCAACTCGACAGAAACCGAAACCGAACTTTCGGTCGTAATTTTATGGTTAATTCTATTTTTAGTGCTATTAAAATCAGAAATGATCATATTGCCTTAGCAATTATAGCACATTGTATTCTTCATTGGACACTCAATAGCTATAAAATAAGGATGTTGTAGTAATATAAAAAAAAAGAGTGTTTAAATAACACAATTAGCCCAATACCAATCTTTGTATATTATTTATTGGCGTAATATCTTACTTTCTATACAATGATATCACAAAACAGCAACAGGCATTATCAGAAAAGGGATATTGTACAATGACCTGCAATGACAGTTTCAAATGATGTACTTGAATAAATTTTAAATTGTTAATATAGAGTGAAAGATGGCTCTTATTCGGGAACTTTATTTTAAAGAGATGATCAAGATTCGGGTAAAGAATTCGGCAGAAAATTCAATAACAAAACAAACTAAATTCTACTTGTTTCGACAATGTTTTAGGCGAAAAGACGATCAAAATTCAGACTATAGGGGGGGGCTCGGAGCGCACTAGACGAGCAGCTCAGTGGAGGAACTTCGAGTTGAAGGAAGAGGAAGAAGAAAAGAAAGTGAAAAGTGTAAAGAAACAGAGAAGAGGTGCAAAGGCGTACGCGGAGTATTGGTGCGACAACGTGACGGCCGTCGCATCTGTAGTCATATAACTTGAAGATTTGTTGCGTACTTTTTTCAGTGAAAATAAAGTTAAGTTTTAAAAGACCGACGTTTCACTCCCGAGCCCTAGCTCGCAACAATTGGTTTCAGAAATGGATTGGAATGGGATTGGAGAATACCGATCATAGCGAGGGAACAAAAAGAAGACGTCACTACCCGCGCTGCGTTGCACAGGAGCAGCAAGAGGAAGTATCCACTAATGGGTCAACGCAATCCACTTATGCTGCAAGTACAAAATCAACTGTGGGACTAGATGTACTTCTGGCACATTTGCGTGATTTTCAAGAGGAATATGCACGTCGACGGGACGAACTACTCCATGCTTTTCAGGAAGAAGAAGCGTGGCGACATGAGAAGATTCTACGATCTCTTGCTCACAATACGGCGGAAGAAGAAGCCGTAGAAAAGGAGATGGAAAATTTGGAACTGCAAAACCCGTATTTATATAAACCTTCAAAATCACGTCCAAAATGTCCATAAAGTCTCAGACGCAGGTGCTCATCAATGCGGAATTGCCCGCCAAAGTCTTTCCGGAATATACCGACGGCAGCAACGTGATGAGCATAAAGGTCGAGGAGAAGCTGATGCCCAAATCAAAGCCACCTCCCGCAAGCCATATATCAGACATTATGCGCGGCAACGTCGAGATTGAGCCTGAATTGGATAACCGACAGTAAACAAAGCCAAGGCAGAACAGAGGACTTCGGGGGATATATGAGGTGGGAGGATCTGAACCACGTTGCTGCACTCCCCTACTAGGCATTTTGTCAACTCTACAACCTCACGTCCGTGGTGATCAATGAGATACGAAAGGAATGCATAAGCCGGAAAAGGCAAGAAGTCCATGGACGGCTTGCTGAGTGCTAGAATAGTAGAACTGTTCCACAGAAAATGGGCCAACTATGCGTAAGTGTCTGATGAGTTGATTTCTGACACCGCTGAGTTGTTTACAAAGAACACCGACATCGTAACCTTCTTAGGCAGCAACAATTGGCTGAACCGCTTCAAAATTAAGTACGTCATCTTGCTCAGAGACACGGCGAGAGACTTTTTTATATGAGACGGTGGAAAACGAGCTAGCAGTTTACCTGATGTTAAGTGATACCCGCCTCCCATGGACATTTGCAACACTCTTAAAATTCAGATGCGTTGCCATCTTTTAATAAAGTTGACCCTTGTTATCTCGCTCACCAGACGAAATGCAAAAGTATAACACTTCCACTTCACGCTAGCCTTATTTGAGGTCATGGCTCAAACCAATCAAAAAGTATAGATTATATTTGTGTGCGTAACTTTGACTACTTGAGAAAAATGTTGCAAGTGTTGTGTTAAGACTCGCAAGTGCTAGAGATAAAATAATTCGGTGAAAAATGTTATTATTAGGTATTACAGCGTTTTACTATTTTGTCATACCCAAGCTATATAGATGATTTGAATAAATTGCCCAATTCGTGGAAAACATTGAGCACTTACAGATCATAAAAGTCAAATTAAGTCTTTATTGACTGAAAAAGCATATTATAGTATCTTAAATTTTTAGGGTTCCATACCTTAAATTCGTTAAAATTTTCACAAATGATATATTGCCGCGTGTTTTTCGACTTCACCAAAAGTTTTATTCGGTAGAGAAAAATCACTAATGAATTAATCAACCAGCAGGATTCTCTGGTCGCTTATAGTATTCGAGAAAAAAATATTTAAAACTAAGAAAGTTCACCATCTTACTAATTTGACTTCAAAAACTCAATACACAGTACTGCCAATATAATAAATATAGGAAGTGGGCGACGTCGATTTTAAAACAATTTATTAAATTAAAAAAAAGACAGAGTCACAGATCCGCCTTAGCCTTCGTGGTTATTTTTTTTAGAACGTCATTGTAAAATACTTTTAATATTTTTTAAAACTCTTTAATATGGCGGATTTCTTTAATGAAAATAACAAGTTCTAAATATTTTTTTTTTCGAATACTATAAGCGACCGGAGGATTGTGCTTAGTATGTTTTATTTTTTTCTGATATTTTTCTTGATCGAATAATTTTTTTTTTGCAGGTCGTAAAACACCCGGTGGTATTGGAAATTTTACCTTTTTTATGTATTTAAAATCTTGCACGCCATATACCCATGTGGTGTACCTACATAATATGTTTAAGCATAATTTAGTAATATATTAAATTTATTTTATCTTTTGGGTAAAGTCGTTCGTGTTCCGAGGAATTATGTCAAATATTTTTACGATTTTGTTTAAATTATACAGAAAATCGATTACTTACTTGTGAAAAGTAATACCAGAACACACATTAATTGTTTTTGCAGCCGTTTATGACACAGGACGGCATAATTTTGCAATTATTATTTTAATAAAACTACGCCATGCTACTTTCAATCCCTTTGTCAACGCATCTGTATGACCGAATCGTCTTCATGTTACGTGCCTATATATGTGCCCCATTGATATGTCCGCAATAATCTGTCTATACTTTTTTATTGGTCTGAGGGTCGTGGTACTTACCCGAACGGACCTGCCCATTGGTGCAACAAACAAAGGTTGTTGCGTGGCCCTACCATTGGCTACAAAAATATCGCTCACGGTAATGGAATAGCCGGTTCTTCAAGGAGACCTGGGGTAGTGGCGACCTCCATGTGGGACCACCGACGAGGACATTTTCAACTCTAGAACGTTTTAGATAAAACAGACATCGAAATTCAGATGATAAAGGCCCGGAGGTCGGGAACGAACTAGACGGGCAGTTCCGTGGCGGAGCTTGAAGAGGAAAAGAAAAGAAAAAGCGAAGTAAAAAGTAAAATTAACAGTGTGGTGAAGACAAGAGATATAAAGGCGTATTCGGAGGAATTGTAACGAGAAAGGACGTCACACCTGTAATCGTGTAACTGGAAGATTGTAACGTGAGAACCGACACCCCTGTAGTGGCAAAGTGAGGATTTGTGCGGTATCAAGAAGTTCGCCGTGTACTACTTGAGTGTAAATTTTAAACGACCGGCATATCACTCCGATTCCGAACCCCTAACTCGTAAAAATTATTATAATAAACACACGTATACCTCATATGTCCGGTTTCAATATTGTATGTAAGTATCTGATTTGGTTACTAGCGATAGGTATTTGACATTAGGTTAATAATACTTACGTTAAAATTCTATCTTCATTTACCAAATCTATACATAGATACAATATTGAAACCTGCTGTTAGATTATGCCACCAACTTATTTAAGCAAAATGATCATTATTAATTTTTACAATTTTGATCATTTAACTTTTATTAAATCATAAGTAAAATATTATTTTCAGATTAAAAAATTGAATGATGATGAGAGCTCTCGTGCTGCCTTTGAATACAGTGCTCTATTAGGTAATGCATTTATTTCTGAAAAAGATGTTGAAGTTTGGGTTGGAGGGCATATAGCTGAATTTTTAATAAAACTCAAAGTAGATACATCAAGATTACCAGAGTTGTATAATGATGAAGGGTAAATGTAGTCAACATCATTTTTTATTTAAATAACATAATTTTTTTCTCCCATTTTAATATAAATGTTAAGATTAAGGAAATTTGGAAACGGGTAAATGGAAAAAATATATTTATATTTGTCATATCAATATTTTTAAACAGTATAATAGTATATCCAAAGGACGATTTAAAAAAAATTCACACGATATCGATATATCGTCCTTTTTTGCATGACTGTTCATACATATGACCAAATTCAAAATTCTTTAAAATTATACCATACACATAAATGAAAATAAATAACAAAAAAAATGATAAAATTATACAAAATTCTAATTTACACTCAACACTGAAAACTGAAACTATGAATTATGATAAATTTTATATATATTATAATTTATGTTATAATTTCATACCATTATATAGTTGAGGAAATTATAATGTTATTTCACAATGATTGCAGAACTGACAATAACCCTGGTATTGATACAGCTTTGTTACTTGTTCGATTTCCAAATTCTACAAATGCAGAACTTATGTTATCACCGTTTTTAACAAAATGTCTTGGAAATATATCATTACCATTGTAAGTATTTCATAAAGTTAAAAAACAATATTCATTCATATTTAATTTTACATGAAAACTAGTTTTTTTTTTTTTAAACAATGCCACACAGGATAATATTATCCTGTGTTGTAAGGACATTTTACAAACATAAATTTCACGCGGACAAACACCCAGATGCGGCACAACTATCTGTGGATCACACAAATAGTTGTTCCGTGTGGGGATCGAACCCACGACCCGCGACGCCGAAGCCAATACCTTGGTAACTGCGCCACGAAGTCATCATTTAATATTAAAACAGTAAAATAATTCTGTACTTTTAGAATGCACCAGTCTGGAGTACTTATGGATTACGTACCAATGGTTACAGACCTATTAAACAATAAAGTGAGTAATTAATGTTTAATCAATAATTACATATCTATATTGTCTTTATACATTGTTGTTTTAATATTAGGTCGTTACATATGAATCTTGGCGTTTTGTAGAAATGGCTACTGATATATCTGGAATTTGGTTAGGAGTTTCTAATTCTAATAAATTTAAAATTTATTATGTAAAATTTGGACGACGTCGTGAAAAGAAAAAAATTGCATGCGAAAAAATTTTATTCCGATGGGGTATTCCCAACCGCCTGCAAAGATTTAATTCATTCCTCCCACATTTTTTTCAAAATCAATGAATCACCTATGAAATAGCGAAAGTGAATAGATGATAATGGTAGGTACATAGATTGACTAAATAACTGAGTGAAAACCTGTTGGTGCATTGAAATTATATTTCTTTTTATTGTAAACAATTTTCATTTATTTATACAGCGTTATATATTGATGTTTAAAGAATATAAATGTTCAATACAATTTTAAAAAGTTATCTTCTACATGTGTGTTCATTTCTTGTCGCGATGGTAACGACACGCTGTATACTAAAAAAACTTTTCTTTCTTTCTAAATATGTAATTTCATTTCTTTTTTCGTTATACTTTTTCCATATAAAACGCTAGTTTCATATTTAAGGACCAAATATAATTTTAAAGAAAGTCAAATATTTGTTTTGTTTAGATTCAAGACCTACTTAATAATGACAAGTTAAAGAGAGAGCTATTAGCACAAATGATTGTCAAGTATGAAGGTGCTGTCTTGGAACATGACGCAAACAGTGCCGCCTTTCTATTCGAAGTCAATGACTTTCATTGGATTTTGCAAATTGACATAGGCAAGTATTTTAAGCATTTGAAGTTATACTTCTTTCGACACGTTTAGAAAAATTTATGAGAGTAAAATTTTTACGATGCGCGCGCACAGCCAAATGATGAAGTTGGTTGCAAAACTTCGACTTAAGTTATCACGGTATTACCATGACATCAATAACAAGTTTTTAACTTATAATAATTTATTTAAACCATTATGCATTCAATGTCGTTTTCACAAACAGAGTATCGGCACAGGAGATAAAATTTTTAGTTATTTTTCTTTTTTTACGCTAAAGAATTTTAACTTCTTACATAAGTAGATGCACGTTTTTTTTTTTCATAATTAATTTTCTATCAATGTTAATAATAGTTTGTAATTGTTTTTATCCAAAGACTTAATATAAATTTGTTAATTCAAAAACGACATGGATGGTACCAAAAATACAATGTAATATTATAGATTTTTAATACAAATATGAGTAAAATATTTATTTAACGTTAACGTGGCAGAAACCCCGTCTCTGCTATGATGAGTGAGGTAACCAGTTACTTGTCTAGTTTTTAATGGTTGACAAAACATCGGCAATCCGTCAGGTGTTCTTGATGTCCATGGGCGGTGGTTATCACTTAACATGAACTCAATCGTTTGCCAACATTTCACATCAAAAAATTGTCGAGAAGTTTGCGGCTTTGGCAGGAACCTGCGTAACGTTCTAAACTCTAGCCAACTGGGCCAAGCGCCCGAAATCTAAGGAGGAAAGTCCATGCTTTTAGGAATATATCACAATATACTTCAATTATCGAAAGTTTTGTTGGCATTAGCATGCAAGATTTGAAATAATCCTTTTTTCCAGGTTTGAAATTTCCAGAAAAGCCACCAGTTTTGACTCTACGATCTGTTTATCACAGCAGTAAAGGTAAACCAAAGTTCAAAGTTTTATCTGCTTGCCCGTACAATAATTTCGAAGGCTACATCGAACAGCAAATTGACGTTTTTAAAAATGAATGTAAAGGTGTTACAGGAGGCAATCATAATTTGTTGAATTTGGATAATTAAATGGTTTCATTTTACTAAAAGTTGTTTAAATGTTGTGATAAAATTTAAAACTCTGTTTTTCTGGATTATCATTAATTGTGTATATTTCATGTTCAATCTGTCTTGAGCCGTGATAGCTCAGTGTCCGGGCGCTCGCCTTTAATTCAATATATACTCGAGCAACCTGAGTTCGATCCCCGGTGCCGGCACCAATGAAGTTTTTAACTTTAAGTTCTGAATTATCACGTGCTCCGCGGTGAAGGAAAACATCGTGAGGAAACCTGCATATTTTCGAAATAATAACAAAAAATGTATTTCGAAAATATGTGAAGTCCGCCAATCCGCAGTGGGGCCGCGTGGTGGACTATGCCCTGATACCCTCTGTATAGAGGAGGCCTTTGCCCAGCAGTGGGACATGTATTGGCTGTTACTTTACTTTTTTACAATCTGTCTTTCTCCTTCGAGATGTTTTAAAATTGTTTTTACTTAATTACTTCTTTTTAGTTAATATTTTTGATAACCGTATAATTTTTCACTGGTAAAGCCATGCATCAGCTTTTGCTGTTTGACAGGTTCGTCCAGGGAAGTAGCAGGACTCATAGAAGACCGGCTTAAAGTAAAAGTGTTACACTTCTGCGTGTCAACTGGTGAGTGAGGTAGCCAGGGTCCACCATGTTTAAAGGTGGCAACGTATCGCTTTACTCACGTTAATATGGAAAAGAACATACGACATCTCAAACGAAACAATAAAGATAAATATTTAGTGTTGTTCCATTGTGGTCACTTCGTATGACCTCGTAGTATAATAGTAAGGAAACTAAAGCATATTTCACGTAGCTGGTCACCATTAAGTATATCTTCCCAGCGCGTATTCCCTGAAATGATCAGTCAAAGTTTTCCACCTATTTACCGATCAACAACACCCAGTGCGAATCGGACTCGCGCCCTAAGGGTTCCGTACCATTATCTATAAAAACGGCAAAAAAATTCGTGTCTGTTGTATGGGAGCCCAAGTTAAATATTTTTTATTCTGTTTTTTAAGTCTTTGTTGTTATAGCGGCAACAGAAATACATCATCTGTGAAAATGTCAACTGTCTAACTATCACGGTTGAGATTCAGCCTGGTGGCAGACGGACAGACAGACAGCGTAGTCTTAATAACAGGGTCTCGTTTTACAATTTGGGTACGGCACCCATATTAATGTCCGTACCTAATTGTTTTCTGTGCGCCTTTACTTTCCCCTGTGACAGTGGCGGACTAATCGGGGGGCGGAAGGGGCGGCCCGCCCCGTCCCTCGGTCCTGAATGCCCCCAAACGCCTTCATGTTCCCTTGAAAAAATCCTAAACAGGGCTTAAAGATGTTTTGTGCCTATCTAAGAGGTTAGAGTTGGAGTTCGCCCATACAAATATAATTTTTTTCAGATAAAATACAAATTACCTAAATAAACACAGTCTGAACTAGTAATTTACAATTTATAAATAAAATAACAATTTTCTACATGTTTTAAAATAACAACTATTGCTTATCAGAGGCGTAGCTATCGCCGTATCAGCCATAGCAATGCTTCGGGGCTCCCGGGTTACAGAGACCCCCAACGGATGAAATAAAATGCCGTGTTTGCGCAGTAATGATATGAAATCAATAGTAATATATAATTTTCTGGCGAGATGTAGTATGTTTAATGTTAAATTTTAAACTTTAGCATCGTGTAATGCATGATGCTAGTTTTAATATTTAAGCATGATTTTAAATGTAATAATGTCCGACGATTTAAATTCCAAGACTTTGCTTGAAATAGTTACGTACACCAAATATGCTAACATGTAGCAAACAGTCTGGACCCTACCAGGGTGCCTCCGAATCTCAATAAAAATTCCTCACCTAAACCTTTCCTTGAAGGTAATTACTGAATTAAACTCGGACCATGCCGAGTCAATTTTGTATTAGTCCATAGTAGTTTATATTAGGCAAGACTTGACAGTCTTTATAATCCTTATGACTTACAGGGGAAGTGAGGCTCGAATCCACAAGCTCCCCGCACTTAAACACATTCCCCAAACAATAGAGTTACCCGAGACGGCCCAAATAGTTGTCGGAGATTGCTACGATTGGATCGTGGTAGTGAAAGATTATCGCTTCGAACTGTAGGAGAACCTCAGGTGTTTATTGAGGGAGAAAAATTCAACCAAGTTCCAGGGTGCGCCACATCCAAAGAGATGTCAAAAAGCACATGCAGGAGCTACAGAGGAGACGAGACTTTCTTTTTCTTTTTGCAATATTTAATGCACTCTTTTGCAGCTGCACCGTCCATTGACCATTCTATTAGCAAGCTCAATGGACGCTTTAACAAGTATAGGACACTCTGATGTGCGTTGAAAAACCCACACGCTAGTGGCAAAAATGAAATGACAAATAAAATAAAAAATGTTTGTAAAAATATTTGCCAATGTCTCCCACACATAGCATTTGAGGATCTTTGGAAACATTTGCACACATTTTTGGGACAGGCAATAAAATCTTTATGTAATTGAAACTTCTCTTTATGACCTAACCTTTGACGCCATGAGCTCTATTATTTCGTTTTGAACCTTGTAAAAATGATACACTTAATTTAAAAATTAAATCGATTTCTACCTATATTTTGTCGCTCAGCAAATTTACTTTTAACTAGTGATGTTCTTCCATGATGGGTCTAACTTTAGCAATAATTATACAAGCACTAAGATTTTTTAATTTATCAGATACAAGGCAGCAAAATACAAAGGTATGAGCATCATCCTTTGAAGCACATTTTAAAATCGTTCATATTTTAGAAATTACGTTCCGTTCTTTCATGTCAATAGTTAAACCAGTTTTAAGCCTAATTTCAGCTTCAATCCAATGAATAAATGCTTTAGTATGTAAGGGATTACTTCGATTTTCTTTTAGTTTCACCTAAATTTGACTCATTTTTAAATTTGTAGCAGGTGTATATTTAGAAAAAAACTGATTCTATTGGGTAATTATATGTGGCGTGCTCACACGCCTCAAACCCCCAAATGTTCATGTTGTTGTATTAAATGTGTCGAGTTATTACCTACAGTTATTATTAACCTTTTACTTATTTAGAACTGGCCAACACTTGGCGATGCAGCCTTTGATGGTAAGCGGGCTAGCTCGGTATAAACCTATTTTACTCTTGCCTCGAAGACGCCTACGTTGTAATCGGACGGAAAGACGGACGCCGGCAAGTTGTTCCATTCCTTAGCTGTACGGATGATAAATGACGAAGCAAATCGCTTGGTTCTTGTTCCGTGAACGTCGACAGCATAAGGGTGGAGGCTCGCCGAACACCTAGTGGTCCGATGATGGAAAGGGGCAGGAGCAATCAAATCATGCAACTACAACGCACACTCTCCAAAATGCATCCTGTAGAAGACCGAGAGGCTGGCTACTCTGCGCCTGTGCTCAAGGCTAGTAAGGTTGGTTTTAACCAAGTTACGGTCACCAATAATTCTTTCCGCACGTTTCTCCATTGAGTCCAAGGTAGCCAGAATGCATTTTGCAGCCCCAGCCCAGATATGGCAACAGTACTCCACATGCGATCGGACTTGAGCTTTGCACAGCATAAGAAGCTGTCCCAATGTAAAGTACCGTCGCACCTTTGCAAGGACTTCCTTGCATCTACCCTGGCTTTAGACTCAATAAACCGCCTAAAGTTGAGGTTTGAGGATATGTCGAGATAGAGGATACGTCGGTATACTCCAAGGACACATTTTGGAAAGTAAGAGCCAAGTTGAAGGGTCTCCTTTTTGCGGAAAAAAGCTGAGGAGGCTGGCGTGCCAGACCGTGTTAAAGGCCTTCGAGATATATAGGGAAACCGCAAGTGCTTCACCAGTGTTCTCGAGGGCCTCGCCCCAAAGGTGAGTGGCACTGGGTCCCCAGTTGACCAATATCGGCGAAATCCGTACTGGCGGTCACTGAAAAGGTCGTTGTGTTCTAGGTACGCCATGAAACGGGCGTTCAATATACGCTCCATAGTCTTACAGACTACGGAGGTAATTGAAATTGGTCTGTAATTGGCAGGATCGGCATAACAACCCTTTTTAGGTACATTCGCCAACTTCCAGGACTACTCCAGTCTCAAATAAGAGGCGGAATAGACAAATTAGGAGACAACTCGGGTGCACAAGCCTTCAGAACTAACGCTGGTATACCGTCTGGTCTACAAGCTTTGTTCTCATCTAGAATCCTTAAGGCTCTTAAGACCACGGTTTTTTTATACGAACCTCCATCATAGAGGTTTCGGAGTGAGGGTGGTGTATGACTCCCAGGGTCCAGACGTAAACCTATTAAAAACATCAATTTTTCTTTAAAATGCTTATTTATATAGCATGGATAACGGTGTACCTAGCCAGGATATTGATGTACCTAACCCTGGAGAATAAAGTAGGACTCCCTGTCTTTTCCACAAAACACGCTTTCCTACTCGCACACAAGGTGAACTCCTGTTGCATGGGATTCCTTGTGTCTTGTATTAACTGATGTTTTTGCTTTCAGTCCCGAGACTATTAAAGCTTCATCTGACGCAGAACCGGTGGGCCAGCCAGAACCCACGGGTTTGGGCCCTCCGCTGTGGGTAGGGCCGCGCATGTGCTCATGCGTGCGTTTAACTACGACATGTTATCTAAGTTGCGGTGCGGACCGAGACCCCAATGGCCGTCGACTGTGTTTTTAGCTAATCGGTGGCTGGGGGCGACGAGAACCGCCCTGGAACGCGGGTGTACCTTGTGTACGCGTTGTGTAGTTCTCGCCGTGCTTGGAGGCGAGGGCGAACTATTGTGTTTGTTGTTACACTAGCTGTGGGTGTAGTGTTATCCGGCGGGACCCCCGGCGGTGGGTCCGGCAGCGATTCCTTGTTCTCTATTCAAAAGACATGGAAACCAAGAGAGCCAGTGCTAACAAGAAGCTGCCATGGATTCAGTCAGTTTATTTGCTGTACTTTACTTTGATTTTACGTTATTTTAAGTATTTTTCAGATGTAAATATAAATGAGAGTAAATTCATATGTTTAATTTGTACCGTTTATTAACTAATATACAATAGTTAAATCAGGTTCAAAGATTACTTAACAATACTAAAACATCTAACTTTTGCAAGCAATCAATTAAATAGTTAATACTATAAAACAAAAAAATTAGGATCACAAAGAGTTTCTGCAGTGACAAATTTTGCCGACAGAAGAACCCCACATAACAATGTAAGAATATGCATGGTATGGTTAGACATATCTCTTGAAATAATGGGGTGATATGTAAACAAAAGTCATGTTTTAAATAGAACAATCTAAATTATGTTTGAAAAATAATTAAGTCTAAGAATTTGACAATTTACTATTTTCCTTGTTTCCAATAAGTTCATAGCGATATCTCATGTAGGTCACTCTCATTCTATCCCATAGATTTTCAAAAGAATCCAATGCTGGCCTGACATCAAGAAGTGCAAATTGATATTTGTTGTCCACTTCACCACCATCATAATAATCAATAACATATCTGACATCTTTCCCACATCTATCTACAATCCAATCATGGCGATCAAATGGAAGTTCATATCTGAAATGTTACATAAAAAAATTAAAAATCTGCCTGGAAATACGGTTTCCATTATTAGCGGCGTGGGCTAGATTTTTTGAGTATTCAGTAACACCCAGTTTCCGAAAGCGCAATCAATTTTAATTTTCGATAAATCTCTTGTCAATCGTTGTTTAACATGATCTGAGTTGCTTGAAATATATTATGAAAAATAAACATAATTCCCAAATACATTGTAAGGACATTCATGTGTTCTATTACCTATTTATTATTTATTGTTATGCGAACATATTATGCAATTAGAAAAAATACAAAATGCAATTCAAAAGTTAATAAATAATATGGATTCTTTTTTTTTTATAATACTTGTTTATTATGGATAAAAGTTCATTTTTTTCATGTTCTTTAAAGTTTTTTCTTGACATTTTGCATGTATTTATATAAATTAAATTTTATTATAGCTCGGATTTTTACGTTGGCAATCACATGATGACAGGACTGAATAGTGACGTTAATTTAAGTTTTGTTTAAAAAGGGACAGCTATACAATAGAAAGAGTTAGTTGAAGTAAATCATTCATTTCATTCATTATCATTGGTTATACAGTGATTAGCTAATTTTTCTTCAACAAACCTTCTAGAATCCCAAGCCAGTTTAACAAAAGATTAAGCTGATCATTTTTGACATAGTGTTATGTGATTGCTGCTTTGATTGGTCTTTCGGAAACTGGGCATAAGTGTCCATTTTGCAAATAGTTTTATACTATTAATAAAATAAAAATAAAGTATTATTAATAAAATTGTTAGATTCTGTAATACAGACAGTAGCGCTTAAAATTAAAATTTATTTGGCAGCTCTAATAAAATAGTTACAGTTTAATAAAATTTATCGAGCATTTCAAAATTGTTCCTGTTTCATGTTTGAAAATAAAGATAACAAGTATAGATAAAACCAAGCCGATTTTATGACCAGATAAGATATTAAGTTATGGAATGGAAAGACCTACCCCAACCATGATCGTATCCTTGCTCTCGGACTATAATCAGTTGCTTTACCGCCAAAACTTTTCAGCCTTGGGTGTCCACATTCTTTAGCATGTAATGCCTCCCACTTTAATACTTCTTGCCAAGCCTAAAACAATACCAAAATTGAAAATTGAAAATTTATTTTTGAACACTTGCACTTGAAAAAAGAAAATTAAAAACAAAAGTGCATTAGTTTTATAGAATCATCATGGATTTTTTCCTTATTCTGATGGATAGAATATGGTGGATGGATAGAAGTAATAAGTTAAATTTTTGCAAAAGTTTTAAAATACTTAAATGAATACAAAATATAGTGTATAATATATATGAATATTTTAGATGTCAGTAGAAAATATAAAGAAGTGAACATAGTAATTAGTTTATAATGTTACATACCTGTTCGTTGTTGGCATTGTGTATACGGATTATGTCCTCCATATCCTTTTGTTTGATCTCATCGTCTTTCCAGCGCCAGCCTTTACGCAGCATGGCATTCCAAAACATTTGTTGGCTTGGGTATACCCAAAATTCTGTAGAACCATCAGGCATCGCCCGGGGAATTGAGGATACTTGACGGTTTGTTGGAAGGGGAAAAGGCTGATCAGGTGCAGGTTTTTGGTTAGCCGGAGGCATCTATAAAATGATATAATAATTACACCAATTAGGAACTTAATAAAACTTATCTTTAAATGGCCATTTTCAGTAGCTTTGAGAGCATAATTTTTTAACAATTTTATTAGATTGCTGTTTTATTTTACGAGTATGATTAATATTCTATATAACGCAACACTACTCTCCTACAGCGAAGATTATGACACATTGCATAATAGTTAATCAACAAATCATTTATTTTAATATGAAAAACAAATTGCACATTTAAAAATGAGAATGAGTCAGCGTCAAAACATATATTACATTACCATGTTGTATGGATTGATATCATTCTTGTCTTGTTGAACTGGGCACTCAGAAGGTCGGGGTTTATCATTCGTTTCATTAGTAGTTTTGTTATGCATGGGACATTCCGGTGGAGGACTTCCATTGCTTTCAAAGGGCCTTATATTTGGACCCTCAGCGGAGACTTTATTGCCCATTTCTTGTTTATTACAACCTTACGTAAGGCATAGGTTAAGTGATCAAAGTTTTGATATCAATCCTGTAAATGATATACGAAAAATACACTTTTATTGCAAAAACTAATATCTAATAATTGATACGAATATATGAAGAGGAATGTTAAAAATGTTCCGAATTAAATTATTAAACTGTACCTTAAGCCTTAACATTGGCAGACTGACAGATTGACAGCTGACAGCTATTGGTCTTTTCAGTCCATAATGTACTCTTTGCTGACAGCTGCTGCCATAGATAGAGATATGAGCATATTGATCCATCTATCACTTAATACGACATCTTATGGATAAACCATTTACCTTATAACAAACAGAGAACGGAAATCTATGACAAGTGAGTAAGCACTTCCCGCTAGATGTATTTGAATAAAGTATTTTTTTATATGTATTAAATCATTTTAATTACAGCCACAAAACCTACAAAACCCCTGTAAATTTCTGTTCTGGTTGCTGTTTCTCCCTTACCGGCGGTTTATGGGCATCAATAAGCTCTTTTTACTTTAAAAAATGTTTTTTTTTTACAGTAATCGGTATAAAACCGGTGTGTAAAATTGTAATCGTTTTACATCTCTGACTGAAATACATTCATCTCACTACATAAGTGTATCATTGAATACATTTATCAGATATATATTTCAGATATATAAAAGTACTCTTTGTCATCTATACTTGCTTTGCTGATATATAAAACTATCGATATTTTTATATGGAAATATTTTTTTTATCGCGATATATCGATGTTCGATATTTATTTCAGACTATCGAATTCTTGACAAGTCCTCCTAGATCCCATCGCCACGACTGGGGTCACTGTTAACGAAATATGGACAATTCGACAGCTAGGTTGGGAGGGAAGGAGAAGAAGCACAACATGTTCCAAGGGCCCCTCAGAGGTTTGGCTGTCGGTGTCGACTTAATCCACCCATAGATAAATTCAACGATCAAAGACTACTTGATGATTTTGCTTATGTCTAGTGTTGGCAACATTAAAAGAAGTCGTTGATTGTAATGAGGTATAAATGCAGCTGCACGAAGCATTTCATGGTCTTCGTCATCTTCGTCTTTCTCTGGCTGTTGACAAGAAGTATACGCGATAGTGCTGCCCAATCGGTATCACAAATTAAAATGTTAAAGTGGTGTTTCATTAGTTATAAAATAAGTAATTATACCAGTGTTATTGTTGTGCAAAGTGAAACTACGGTAATTTGGTAAAAGTATTTATATTTCTTTCTTCTTAGCTCGATAAAACAAAGTATAGCTAACACTAGGTTGAATGAGTACACATAGTATAAAGTAGTGGGATTGACTAAGCAAAACTGAATTTGGAAGAGGACTTTAAAATTAAATATATGTTCATGGACGATAGTCAATAGAAGGTAGTCAATTGTCTTAAAGTTCTTGTTACCAGGCCATAAAATTTTTAGTAAATAAAGGAAGATATCTTCTTCTTTTCTTTTTTTTTGGTAGTTTTCAATGAATACGCCAATGAACACTTCTGAAAGAAGATATCCAAAGACAAACTAATGACAGTGACACTGACAGTGACCGATGACAGTTGACTGTTACAAAACAAACGTAAAGTTCAAGAAGGACCTTTAGGTTAATTTTGCCATCATTTTAAGTTTAATGATCAATATGAATCACAGTTTAATAAGAAAGACGAAAAACATTTTGTCACTTTCGATCCATAGATATTTAAATAATAATGTTGCAAGTATAACAAAGGTACACCGAGAAGTGTACACTAGGATGTATCCTACAATTATTGTTTTGCCCGATGGATCATCTATCAACGTGAGGTATTATGAACCGAGGGGTATCATAAAGGTAATAATTATTTTACTATAATAATATTCATCTTGTTATGACGTAAAAATATAATACAGCAAACAAAAAGTAAATATGTTCAATTGGAGGAGTGATTTTAAAATTATTACTATTTTCAGTTACCATTGGATCTTACGCAATTGTCTGATGAAGAACGAAGAATTAGGATTGAAAAGAGAAAACCTAAACGGAAAATCAAGATAACTGAGACTATTGATGATAACTTTAATGCTAAAAAGTATCTAAAATTCATAAAGAAATAAGTGATTATTTAAATGTTCTGTATAAGTGAAAACATGTAAAAAGAAAGTAGAATTAATAACAAATTATAAATTTAAATCTGCATTGTTACTCTATTTTTAAACATTGCATGGATATTACCATCTTGAGGTATATTTGAAATTTTTGTTACATAAATGAACAAAAACTCTTGGCGCTGTGGGATTCGAAACTACGTCATTCGTTTCGCGCCCAGATACAGATGCTAAGAGGTCAATGACGTAACAGAGTGAAAATCTTAACATAATTATGTCTATGTTTGTTATATTGCATTTTTAACAATTCTTGGCACCATCTAGTGTGCTTCCCTTTCAAACAAGCATACAATCCCTTACAAATGCATTCAACAATGAATATTTGTAATGAGAGAGGTCGCCACTACTCTTAATTTTTTTTAGAATAAAATTATAAGTGAACTTAAGTGAAGAACACAGACATTAACAAATATTTTCCAAACCACCTTACACTTATTCATGCTCAAAGAAATAACAAATATGTATATGCTGGGTTCTTTTATAGAAATAAGACTACATTACAAGTTAGTGTCAGCTGGAATGCACAATTCTAGACGACTATACTCGAGGTTGGCTAAGTATAGATTTAAAGGAAATAGTTCATCTATAAGCAAATGGAAGGTTTTTAACCTAAGAAAGGGCACTCGACTTGGCCATAATACAAATTCTTGTTTTCATTACTATTGGCCTCTGATTCGCATCTTAATTTAATTTCGTAATGATCTCGTTATAAAAATGCTACTAACGAGCAATAATCTTTATATATAAAAATGAATCCCTATTTCCCTTGGTCACGCCATCACGCGTGTACGACTAGACCGATTTCACTTCTTTTTTTAATTGTATTTGTTATTATCAGGAGAGGGTTCTTATGAAAGAAAAAGTTTGAAAAATTGTGCGGAAAATTAGAAAATTTAAGAATACTTATTATGCTGTCTTTCTGTCCCTATGTATGCTTAGATCTTTAAAACTACGCAACGGATCTTGATGCCGGTTTTTTACTAGATAGGAGTGATTCAAGAGAAAGGTTTATATGTATAATACATTGCACCCGTGCGAAGCCGGGGCGGGTCGCTAGTAAAATATAAATATTTTAGTACATATTTTTATACAACACTATCTAGTCCCAAACTAAGCAACCCTTGTACTATACATACTAGATAACTGATACACATACTTAAACATACTTTTCTTTTGTAAATAAATACATATTATACATATACAGCGTGTCTTTACAATCGCGACAATTAATGAACAAACATTTAGGGGATAACTTTTTAAAATTGTATTAAACATTTACATTCTTTAAACATCAATATTTACAGAGTTATTAAATTTTCCGAAACAGAGAATTATAGAACACCCTTACGTATAAAACTGTAACGTAAAGTTCATTTGTAAAGGTCACAAAGCATATGAATGGGTTGAATGAATTTAAAAGAGACAAAACATACTGTTAGAAGGAGAGGCCTGTAATGCGACACTGTGGCGCGAGTTGTATAGGTTACAAATTGTTACAAATTTTGTTTCTTTTTTATTTAACTATTTTTTTATGAAAAATTTTTTTTTTAATTATGCATTTTGTTTAACGTTAATATTTTTTTATGATTATTGGCAAGTAGCGTTAGACGTGTGTTCATTTATTGTCGCGATGGTAACGACACGCTGTATAAACACCCAGGCACTAGAAAAACACTATGTTCATCACACAATATTTTTCCAGTAGTGGAGATCGAACCCACACCCTTTGGCGCATGAGGCAGGTACACTATCCACTACGCCATTCGGGTCGTAGAATGAATGTCGGCAATGAATAAGAACAGTAATTATTGAGACAAGACGATAAATTCACGGAGACACTCATCATAATTATGGTTTAATTCCGATGCAACCTGTAAAAAAAAAACAATAGCTGGCTTTGCTTAAGGCTGATAAGATTGGATCTTCACAAATTGGGGTCATCAATGAGCCCCTCCCCGTCGGGATTGAGCCTGCATATTACTCGCAACATTCTTTCGATTTTTTCCCCATTCACTTGATGTATATATATCTTCCGTGGAACTTATTTCGTCAAGTCCATCAAGTAAGTTCGAAGTTTGACCTTTTGTGTACTTCTCTTACTCCCTTCGTTATGCGTATTGTGTCGCATATGTTGTCGAAACTGTCCACATAACGTCTACTTGAGAGTGAGTGTTCCCGAACAGTCGGGCGTTTAAGTCTTTTATACAGGATGATTTATTAGACGAAGTACATACTTTGACATAATGTTAATTGAGCATTCCATAATTCAAAAAAATATTAATGTATTTTTTTGGCAAGAAATAACCAGAAAAATATCAATTCAAACATTGTTTGTTTATCCCGTTAAGAGTGGTCACCCTATCTATAAGCGGTTTAGTAGTTATGCATTCAGCGAAAAGTTTTAGTGCTCGTCAATAGGTCATTGTATTGAGACGGTAGGGCAGTAATTTGTTAAGGTGTCCATTATTTTTGAAAAGATTAAAAATAATCTTTGAAAAAAAAAAATAGGTCGCAAGTACGTACCAGATTCAGATTTATAATCAAATTCTGAATATGCTTAGTTATACGATGGACAAATTAGTCCAACGTCTATAAAATCACCCTGTATAGATGTACGGCCATCTAGATGGAGAGCTCATAGCGCCCAAAATCAATAACTTCATCCTGTACTTATTCGGTGGTTGTCTATCTCTACGATCTCCGCGCCCCAAATATCGCAGTGCATATATCCCAAATATCCTTCTTGGTTGCGCGTTTCTGGCTGCCGTGGCGTACCTACTACCCATATATACCCATCCCAATGATGTGAGCGCTGCGACT